AAAAATTGTAGTGTAGAAAAGATAAAGCAACTAATGCTTCAAAATAAGCTCAAATTGATAAACAATGTGGATTACACAAATTTATTAGACGCTATGGGGGGGGGGGGGGGGGGGGGGGGGGGACATTTATCATTTTTTTTTTCAATATCACTATTCTCCAAATGAGAAACCAATAGATTATGAGCGGCGTGACCCAAGTGTTAATGAAATACTTATCTTTTAGAGATAAATGAGTAGTTGGTGGGGTATTAAACAATAATTGGCCTGAGCTTTGTTTTTTTTTATATTAGTCTCGAAAAAGTTGTGAACTAATAGATTATCCGGTTTGTCCGGATTATAATGGATGGATCAGGATTCTGATATTCTTTTAATCCTGTACACAACTCTCATTCAATTCTTTTAAGCTCACATCAACTACCCCTCTATTTTACATTTTCAGCTCTGCACACAAACTCATTTTCAGTTAAGCTCACTCAGTATGGTTGATAAGCACTCAGTCCCAGTTAAGATTTTTGCATTGTAAGCTCAATGAAAATATATTCAGTTAAGCTTATAAAACTTGATCAGAAGAGTTTGATAAAAAATATATTGCAGTTAAGCACACGATGAATATTCAAAGATAAAATGATATGTGAAGAAATGTACGAAGATCTATAAGAATGAATTACAGATTGAGCATTCAAAGAATTGTGAAGCGTTTGACAATGAAGAATTATGTTCAATAATTTCTGAAAACAAATTGGATTTCAAACGAATGTATTATCACCGAAAATGAATATTGCATTTTAGAGAGGTGATAACAGTAAATTGAAGAATAGCTGAATCAAATATTGGAATTATGCATGAAAAGAAAATATGCAAGTATTGACTCAAGGAAATACCTGATCAGAAATAGTACTCATTACAGACAATATTTAAATAAAAAAAACATTTAAAAATCACACTTATGAGAATAACTAAAATCATTTTGAGTTCAAAGAAGTTGTCATTCTTCTAAGCATATTAAGATTTAAAGTTCAGAAATATATACCTAAGATTCATATCAGAATGAAATTTTGATCGTGATGCTCCCCTTGAATTTAACTCATACACAAACATATTAGAATTTTAGAGACTCCCCATTGACATGTTTAGAGGATGATCTTTTGTCTTGTGTAAAAAGTGGAGGACAAACATCAGTATGATTATTCTGATCATCATACTCATGATGAACAACTCGTATTTTTGAAAATTGTAGTTTGAGTCCTGAACTATCTTGTTCAGAATCATAACAATGAAGAACATGTTCTAAACTGAATTATTTAGAAGCTAATACACTGAAGTTCCTAGTTCTAGACTTATTATCTAGAAGTCTGCACAAAAAATCACTTTGGAACATATGGGTTAGTATAAAACAAATTAGTAGTTATAGCTTTAACGCGCCATTCATACCTTTTTTTCGGAACCCATTTTCAAACAAACATTACATGAACAAAAAATGGTTCATCTTTTTTTTTTTTTTTGAAAATTTTTATGTGAAAGATTTTTCTTTGGAGCACAAAAACCATTTGCAGCTTTAGTATTATGAGAAGAAGTAGATAAAGGTTTGAACTTCTTAGACCTGATCTGTTGTTTGCATTTGACATTGATGACGAAAGAATTATAACCACAATAGTTGCAACACATATGTTTTGGAGCTAAGAATAATATATCTGAATTTGAATTTTTTAAATCAGCATTCAGATTACATTTTCTCTTAGTAAATAAAGCACACTTACAACTACTAGGCTTGGCATTTGGATTCTTTACAGAGGAATTAATTTTGGAAAAATTCGCACTTTTCTTTTGTAAGTCATCTCTTCCTCCATTCATAATCATTTTGCAATTTAGCTTTCACTGTTGCCACATATAAGAAATTTGAATTCACAAAGGATTTAACAATCGAACACCCAGAATTATCAGATTTGTCAGATATGGGAGAAGTCTTAAAATTATCTTTGGATTTATGCTTGAAGGCTCTCAAACTTCAAAAATACTTTCAGAAAGATTGTTTTTATCAATAACAATTGATTTGATTTGAGGATCAATATGAGGAATCACTGGTATGGAACTAATAAAACTATTAACCAACCCTATTTATACCTAAAAATTACAAGAAACAAAACTAATTACAAAACCTGTAAACTTACACTATAAAGCAATGTAAAACATATTAAGCACAAGACTTGAATACAATATTTTTGACTCAACAAATAAGTTAATTTTTAATTATCTCATTATATTATTTTGTTGAAGAGGTAGATTATTCAACACAAATATTTCAAGGTTCGATGAATTCCAAGAATATCTTCAATGAAATTTTGAGATGCGCTCAAATGAAGTTCATCATCAAC